GAGTTGAAGGAATTGAATGATCATTTACAGGATTTATTGAGTAAGGGGTTTATTTGCCCTAGTGTTTTTGTATGGGGTGCTCATGTGTTATTTGTGAGGAAGAACGATAGATCCACGAGGATGTGTATTGATTATCGAAAATTGGACAAAGTGAAAGTGAAGAACATGTATCCTCTTCCTCATATTGACAATTTCTTTGATCATGCATCTTTATTTTCTAATATTAATTTGGATCTGATTGTCATCAACCCAAAATTAGTGATCTTGGACATATTTATGTGTCCAGAATGTTAATTATGCTCGCATTTAAGCCGAGTTTGAATTCAATATATATGTGTTTGGAGTCATATCAGGTCATTTAAATATTTATGAACTAACCAACATGATTAGTTATGTAGGTAAGTTTAATGGAAGAAACGGGCACAAAAAGGGACAAAGGAAGAAGTCTGAAGATTTGAGTCAAAAAAGAGCAAAAAAGAAGTTGATAAAAATGCCAAAGGCATTTGCGTGTTGTTCTCGCATTGCAAAGAGGGAGGGGTTCTGATTAAAATCTTTTAGGTTTTGAGAAAGGCGATAACAATTCTTTATCGCTGTCAAGTTTGGAGTGTCAAGCAACCAACAATAATGAAATGCTAAGATCAAGTTTTCAACACTTGCGTTTTGCTTCAGAAATTAGAAAAATCAAGTATTTCCTAATTCTAAAGTCCCCGGCAATGGCGCCAAAAACTTGTTGTGTTCAAATTGCACACGCAAGTGCACATGATCGTACAAGTAATAAAGTGTCTCTTTTTTGGAGCCGACTATTGTACCCACAAGAACTTATGATTAGAATTGATTGATTCTCCTAACTTGCAGTTCAACACAAATGTAATTTACAAATTCAAGAGTTGCTTATTATCTATTTCTAACTTAAAATGAAATATAACTAGTACGATTCAATTTCACGAGTTTTGAACAATGATTTGGGAATGGTCAAGGGCTGCAACTTTTATGAGGAATCATACAATCAATATCATTAAAATAGGTAATTATTAACTATCGAATCACTGAATAACAGGGTTCGATGTATGATCATGGTCTCTCGACCTCTAATCCCCTAAAATATTTAACATCCTAACTACATCGTTGAACGGGGATAGAATGATTAAATAGTGAGCATTAAGTTATCTTCCTGTATGTTGACCTAAGTTAGGTCTCTAGATATATCCTTATCCTAGAGATGAATCAACCCTAGCAAGCTCCCTATGCCCTACGTTCTATCCTCTCATTTCTCTCCGGAGTTCAATTCGGACAATAGATTTTTTCTATGGTTATCAAGCATGAAATACAGAAGGAAGAACATAAAAGAGATTTATGTGATAGTAAATAATAAACCCAAAATCAAATTCAAGAGCTTACTTTCTTCCTGTAACCCTAGAACTTGGGAAGGGTATTTAGCTACTTTAAATCCAATATTCAATCTTACAATGATTATGAATCATCAACAATTTTGAAAGGAAACGAGATAGAGAATTAACCCTAAAAACTCCAAAAACAGAATTCTCTAGTTCTCCTTGTTCAGAATCAGAAAAAGAATAATTAATAAAATAAAATAAAACAACCCTATTTATACTAAGAGCGAAACGACCAATTTTGGGCCTCAGGCATGCGATGCACGACCGCTTCCCAGATTCGAGTAGAGTCATATTTGCCTTCTGCGCGATGTGGGACGAACACAAGGTATTTTGCCTCAATTTGATTTTCGCAACCTCTAATATGAACCCTTTCTGCGATGCAGTAACAACTCATCAACTTCTTCCTTTCTCTCTTTTGAGCCAAATTTTCAGACTGCTTCCTTTGTCCCTTTTTGTCCTCGTTTCTCCCATTAAACTTACCTACACACCTAATCATGTTGGTTAGTTTCATAAATACAAATGACCTTATATGAATCCAAACACATATATATTTAATTCAAACTCAGCTTAAATGTGGGCATAATTAGAATTCTAAAAACGTAAATATGCCCAAGATCAATTAGGGCATCAGATATCCCGAAGAAAACTTTTAAGACCTTGTTATGGTCACTATGAGTTTGTTGTGATGTCGTTCGGTTTGAATAATTCCTTACAGGGTTCATTAAGTTTATGAACGAGGTATTCTGACCTTTTCTGGATACCTATGTGATAATGTTCAATAATGATATATTTTTATACTCCAAGACCGAGGGAGATCACGATGGGAATTTTAGGATTGTACTCTAGAGATTAAGAGAAGAGAAGCTTTTTTCCATATTCTCGAAATGTGTATTTTTCTTGATATTGTGGCATTATTGGTACATGTGGTGTCCAAGGAGGGTATTCGATTTGGTCAATCCAAGATTGAGGCACTAAGGGGTTGGAACAGACTTGCATCGATTATGGATCCAAAGTTTTATGGAACTTGCAAGATATTACCAATGATTTTGTAGAACTTCTCTTCTATTGCATTTCCTTTGACTATATTGACTCGTAAGAGTGTGAGTTTTAGCGATTATGAGGAGAGCTTTCAAAATCTCAAGACCTTATTGACTTCATCTCCCGTTTTGATTTTACCCGAAGAGGATGTGCATTTCATTGTTTATTGCAATGCTTCTAGAGTCGGGTTAGGCGGTGTTCTGATGTAGAAGGTTAAGGTGATTTCCTATGCTTCTAGGCAGTTGGAAACCTATGAGAGAAACTACCCTACCCATAATTTATAGGTCGTAGTCGTAGTGTTTGTGTTTAAGGGATGGAGTAAGTATTTGTATGGAGTTCATTGTGAGGTTTTCATATTTCATTAATATATCTTTAATTAGAACTTGAGGTAGCGTAGATTGCTTAAGCTACTGAAAAACTGAAATCACCATCCTATATCAACCTGGGAAGGACAATGTGGTGGCTGATGCCTTGAATACAGATACTTATAGCATGGGAAGTCTTTTCGCTATTGGTGTAGAGGAGAGAGTATTAGCTAAATATGTTCAGATATTAGCAAATAGTTTCTTCCATTTGATGATTTTTGAGGAGACGGGTGGTTTGATTACTTTTATTGACACTCATTCTTCCTCAGTTGAACAGATTTGTGAGTGCCAGTTTGATGACGAGAAACTATCTTTCATTCGAGACACAATGATTAGAGGGGAAGCCAAGGAGGTTGTCCTTGATCTGATGGGATTTAGACTTAGCACCGAGAGCGCTTTGAGGTGGAGGCTTAAATAAAATAGTCTTTAGCTGCAACCTCTAGTCCAATACTAACTGACCCCTAGGATTGTATTAAATTACCTAGCTAGTAGATCCAATTTATCAAATGATGATATGTACATATTCTACCTTGGCAAGTAGACTCCTTTTTTTCAGCATAAGGGATATACCAAATTACATCATATCCCACAAAATGCTTATGCTTTCTTCATTTTTTTCTGAAATACTTCATGTTAATATGCATTTGACCATGTTTTATGATTCTCATGTCATTTGTTCTTTAAATATTTTTAAAATGTCTTAATATGATCATGTATAAGTGCTTTAAGTAATTTATTCTATCATTCCTATGTTTATGCATATTTCTTCATACTTAGTACATTCCATGTACTAATGTACACTTCCACCTACATTGTCTCACTAATGTAGGGTCTGACGCTCCTACCTCCCATACTTGAGGCTAGTTAATCCTTTGTACTTTTGAATATTGGAGAGTCCTCATGTTTCGAGAACTGAGACTCTTTTAATTCGTTTATGTTATTTCTATTTTTGACTTTGTATGTGATGTATGAGTTACGTCCTAATCAGTTTTATTATGATGTATTAGATGACTTTGAGACTTATGTTAGACTTATGTTTGTCAAATATTTTGATGTATAAATTCTATACTTTATAGTCTTTCTTTATATTGTCTGGTATGATGTATGTCAAATGGTTTGTGTAGGACCTATCTGGGTTCTGTACATCATGTTACGCCTAGCGTCTACATTGGGTCGTAACAATATCATCACATCCTAGGATTCAGGAATAAGCCTCTTTTAAAAACATTAAAAGTAGGAAGGAGAGTTATGACGTCATATTATCCGTCTGAACCAATAGCTAAAGTTTTGTGCTAGTTAGATTTTTTTAAAGAATATAATTTGGAGTGACGTTCACGCTTGAATACTTTAATATAACTTCAAATGTGAAAAGGCAAATAGAAAATAAGTAATAAACTATTCCAATTTGTATTTCTACTATCAAATGTTTACTTTAATTTTAATTAGGATACATAAATATTTTTTTAAAAAATAGGACTAAATGGATTAATTACCTTTTACGATATACACATATTTTAAAAAATAAATATCGTGGTGCAATTCAAATTGAATTGACTAATATACTTTGTTGACTAACAAGAGTGAGAATATATTTTGACCTATAATACACAGACTTCACAAACATTCTTTAAGTTATTTGATTATATTATTTGGAATGGTTTTAAGATATAGATTTATAATGTTTGTTCAGTTTAATAAGTCATATAGTAGGTTCTTACTATTTTTCACTTATTATTTTGGATTAGTGATACAGAACTATCTTTTTCTTATCATGTATTAGCAAAATAAAACATATGAGTGTGTACAGAAACAAAAACTAAGAAAAATATTTCATTCTAAATAATTTTAAGAAAAATCATTATTTTTCTGAAATGGAGAAAAGGCTCTTACAAAAGCTACAACTAATTACAGACTATTTTATTCAAGTCATCTATTGATGAATAACTTAGTAATCATTATGACCAAGTAAATTCTCATTAGCAGAATTCTGGAGATTCACACTTGATGTACCATTTTATTTCATAGCTTCCTTAGCTAAATCACTCCATTTCTTGGCATTTCTTCTCATTTCTTTCCCTTCTTTGCTGCCTCCCATCACGATCTCGATACATCTACTGAACTCATATCTTTCCACAACACCACCTTCACTAACATTAAGTATAACACCATTCTTCCAAATATCTTGAATGAACTTTGTATTACAAACTTGATCATTCCAGATCGGACATGCGACGATAGGTAACCCAGAGGCTATACTCTCCAATGTCGAATTCCATCCACAGTGAGTCAGAAAACAACCAACAGAAGGGTGTTTGAGAACTTCCACTTGTGAGCACCAACTTACCATCTTTCCTTGCATTTCAAGTTTGTCTTTGCCACTTAATTGTTCTTCTATCTTATATCCATCTTTCCCTTCTCTAATCACCCACAAAAATGGTCTTCCACATTTTAGCAACCCTTGACCAATCTCCTCCAGCAATTGACTTGATATTTCGGAGTGACTACCAAATGCTATGTAAATAACTGATCCTTTATCCTTTAAGTTCAACCAACCCATATAATTTTTTGAACTAATCTCAATCATATCCGCTCGAAAAATATTATCTTTAAGAAAAACTGAAGGAATAGATGGCCCGATTCCAATCATAGTCACATGTTTTAAGATTTTTAAAGCATCAAATTCCAAAGCATCAAAAGTGTTTACAAGAACTCTTAGGTTTTCTTCACTATTCAACATTTCAATTTGATTTTTAATAGACTCAGCTTCCCAATTGGTACTTTCCAAGTCATCAAATACAAAAGAAGGAAAATCAATTGTACTAAGTGGTTGCAATCCTGGTAACTCTATTAATTTGTCCTTATCAGCACATTTTTTGAAAGAATCAGAATAATAAGTGAATCTATAAAAATGAACATCAAAAACTGTGGCTGGTTGGATCCAAAATAATTTAAATGGAAAGTGTTTTTGAACTAGTTTGGTTACAACTCATTAAGGTTACACATATTTATACTAGTATGTAGATGGTTCTAGGATACAAAAATATGATTTTTAAAAAAAATTAAGAATCATCATTATTATTCAGTAAACAATGCAAGAAATACATGACTACTTTAGACTAAGAATCAAAAAGAATATAATGACAACATGAAATAAGTGACTACTTTAGACTAAGAATAAAAAAGATATGCTGATATCACGAAATGCGTGACTACTTTAGACTAAGAGTAAAAAAGAATGTAATGACAACATGAAATGCGTGACTGCTTTACACTAAGAATAAAAAAGATATAAAGACAGCAAGAAATGCGTAACTACTGTAGATTAAGAACGAAAAGAATAATCATAGCAAAAAATGTGTAACTACTTTAGACTATGAATAAAAAAGAATATAATGATAAAAAGTAGCATGTTTTTATTATCACATAGACTGTGTCCTAAAAAATTAGAGATGTAAAGCATGATGTTTTTATTGTTCTAAGAGTCATCTGTATTATTCAGTAAACGATAATGCAAGAAACGTATGAGTACTTTAGACTACAAAATAAAAAAATTTAATGGTAACAAGTAATTTATTTTTTTATCAGATATATCGTGTGCTAAAAAATACAGATACAAAATCATGACATAGGTACATAATAGATTACAAATTATTATTATATAAAAAAACCGTACACACACGCGCGCGCACACACACACGCACACACACGCGCGCAGCACGCACGCACGCACGCACGCGCGCGCACACACATACAACCTATCTACAACATAATTTTTCTACAAGGAGCATAACTTTTTCATTACCTTTAAGGGTTCAACATGTTTAAATAATTAAACAAGAAAACACTGCTAATTTTAATTTTTTATGTAACCGAAGAGAGCAAAAAATCCAAAAGATGGCTCTATTGGTGTTTCACTTAACTTTAAGATATTCAAAATATTTTGAAAAGTTTAACTTATTGAATCATCATATATAGTCTTAATTCTTTTTCTTTTTCCAAATACATGAAAGTATTATATAGGGTGAGAGAAATCGAACATGTTATCTTTATATGTTGTGATACAATATTGATTTTATATCTAATTTGAAAGATTTTACATTTATAGAAGACACATTTTAACTTACTTCATTATTTATTTTAAATACCATTTTGTTCGAGAAAAGAAAAGATACATATATAATTTAGAAATTGATTAATACATGCAAAATAAATATTTTTTGTTGAATTACTTTCAGTACGTGAAATTGACATGAATGTTCTTATAGTCGGCATATGACCTTTTAGTCAACCTTTATAAACAACAAGGAAAAATTTCTGTAAAAATTAACCATCCCTAGTAAAAGGACAAAGTATGTTCACTTTGAATAATCAATCTTATTTGTCTTGTATGACTCAATATATATTTCACACTGTTCATAACAACTTGCATTTCACCTTCACACTCATTGTGAATTTTAGTCCTCCAAACTTATCTTAAACACCCTTTCTAAGTTTATGAATGAAATTTTTTCATAAAGTTTGTTTTATCCCTCTCTAGTTGATGTGATTCATGTTTGATCAGTTGGTGAAGTTGGTTTGAGAATTTAAATTATTCGATAAATACGGTCATTTGTTGATAAGTACTTATTAAATAATTATTTTTTTACTGAGTGGTTAATCAACCAAGTATATAATTTATTGAATAGTGTTACCACTTGATCTTTGTATAACAAAATATATTAAATAAAGAGGAGATGTGAGATTCTTAAAGAGAAATCTTGATTAAAGCACTATTGCTGGATGGGTAACTATTGTGAAGTAGAATATAATTTAGACTTAATTTTAAGATTCTTATTCTCAATTTCTGCACGATATTTATAACTTTGTCAAATTATTTCTAAAAAAAATGTATAAAACACAATGTGGTTTATACTGAATTCTTTCCCCAATTTAGTAAATAATTTAATGATGGTCAAATAATTATGGCTAATAGTAGATGATTATGAGAAATTGTTGAGTAATTATTACGAAAATGTATCACCTAAGAAATCTACCTTAGACTGAATTCGTAAAATAGGTGAATCACAGAGTTCCCTAGACCCTAAACGGATCGTTGAACCCTAAGTTCCATCAAGTGGGCCGTTGAAACAACCCAGTACAACCCCAACTGATCTTGAAGAACCATTGTGGCCTATACGGCCCATGGTGCTTTACACAATCTGTGAAGTGAAATGTGAATGAATTAGTCGACCCTTCAAGTTTTGGGTCACCTTCAAATGGTCATATCATTTAGCACAACTAAAATTTTGGGGTAATGTTTCTTAGCTCTAAATCTTCAATTACCAAATGTTATTATTGATTTTATGAGTTTAAATCAAGATTTTTTTGGGTGGGGTGGGTGGGGGTGGGGGGTTAATAGAATAATAAGTTTTCTGCTTTATCTTGTTCTTATTTTTACTATTTTCTCCTTCTCTTTTGTTTTTGTTGGGCTGACGCTAATTTGCCTTGATGGAAAAAGACAAGTGCCATCACATCCATTTTTGGATCATGACAAAGAAAAAACAAAAATCTTGGGTGCATTGGGTGAACCAAGCCCTAATTAAATGAAACAAAGACAAATAGAAACAAAACAAAAAGTTCAACTATCATAAAGGAAACTACAGAGACCTGAAGAGCCCTCTTATTCTTCCTTGGAAGCTACAACCATCAACCAATGTTCTGGTAGCTTTCCTTTTGCAGATGTTTAGAAATGAAGCTTTATAGAGCTTAAGATACATCCATATGTGCATCCAAGCTTCTCATAAATGCCATGAATATTACTCGATGGAGACTTTTTCAACTCCTAATACTCTTCCAGCTTGTCCTCAAGGTAAAATCCAAATCAGTGAGTTTACCCCTTGAAATTCTTCTTACAAAAAGATTTAACTAACAAACCCTTAAATCATGTAGGTTGAGCTTCGAGAAGCTAACTAATACAGTGTAACAATTATGAGGCTTATTAGGTAAACCTCTTTTATACTACAATAGTTGGTATAAGTGAGAGCAATTCCTTTCCCAAATAGATTGTAATTCAAGCCGATGTTCCAAGAATATAATGGTCCATTTAGAGTAATTGTTGTTATAGGCTTGATATTCGTTCTTCTTTTCCTTTGATTTATAAAACCATTGCTTTAAACTCTTGAACCCTTATATGTTATTAAAGTTTATTTTCTAGATAATTATTTTACACACCTCGGAAAATGAATAGTTGCAATGTTGGCTGCTGGTGCAAGTCAACAAGTCTTGTTTACAGACAACAAAAGGTTAGACGGTCAGTAGAAGGAAGTCGTAGAAATGTCCCTAAGGATATCTTGATTTTTGGATTTCTGAAGTTCTATATGGAACACTAGAACGGTCTGTATAAGGTTATTAGAAGGAAGTAGTTATAGAAGAGTTCTAGACTTGGTTAAAAAATTGGTCTGAATTTTGGGTATATGGAGTTCTTAGAAACATGATCTACGGACTACCGGGATGGACCGTCGAATATTCTACAATCTGTAGGTGGCATCCATAGATCACTGTGCCAGTTAATTTTTAAGTGTAATTAGATATTTACCTATTTATTTAATACCTATACTACATCATTTTACCCCTAAACCCAAGCCCTATAAATTCCCTTCACCCTTAGAACATTTCCCCAACTTATTCATTCTCTCAAATTCCTTAAAGTCTCTCCAAGGTTTTCTAAACAAACTCTTTTCTCTAGATCAAAGAAGAATAAACTAGGGTTCTTCAAGTTCAATAATCGTTAATTCCTCATTCTTGAGGGATTCAATCAAGGTATGTAGGGAGTTCACCAATGAGTTCCAATCACCCATTGAGTTTCCAAAGCTTCTTCTATTCTCCAATTTAATTTCTTATACCTCAATTAAGTGTTCACTCAATTCCTTGTGGGTTCTATTTGTATGAATTCAAATGCTTTATTATGATCTCTTTTTGAAAATTTGGACTTAATCTTTTCAACTAATTCTATGTGAATCCATGCATTGACCAATGGATTTTGATTTCAAACCCTAACTTACATGAATTCATGGAGAAGCTTGAATCTATATATTTTTATAAAATCATGCCTATTTTCATGGAATAAATGTATATGACATAAGTAAGCTAATAGATGAAGGTATGTATAAGTTCAACGAAGCTTGGGCACATGATATGAATGACATTTAGATTTGCTCTCTGTGATTTTAGGCAACGTATGTAAATTAGATCTTGATTATTATGCTATCCAAATATGCCATCAATGATTATAGATCAAGATTTTAAAACTATTTGTCTTAGTAGTAGGGAAATTTTAGTACGAAGTTAATGACTATGAGCCTTATTAAGCTATTATGAAAAGATCATGGATCGCAACACCCAAAAAAATTTCAAACTAAGACTCGAACAGTTCTTTGTAGTATGTGAAATTTTACCAAGGAATTAAAAAAATTTCTTAAGCGTTAAGGTCACTAGATGTAAAATCTTGAGTTCCAAAAAGAACTAAATTGGAAATAGGAAAATCTGAAATTTTGCAAGTTATACTTAAGTTATGAGTTTTAGTTTAACTTCAAATGACCATAACTCTCGGTACATGATGATTATGATGTAATACGTATTTCATAAATACCGTTTACTAGAATCCAAGCCCAGGACCTTCAGAGGATGCAACGGTTACTCATGAAGATGGAGGTCCTCGAGATGGTGTTGATGACAAGTACAACCTTTCATGCCTTAGAGATTGCTGAAGATTTCCCTTTCGGCAAGCAGGGTCAACTTGGCGCATCAACCAATGGCTTAAGTGGTGGCCCCAAGCCACCTAATGGTAAAAAACGTGGCTAGGGACTGAAACATTTCAGAGAAGCTCGCCGATCAGGTTGGCACATTGCCAAGTGACTAGTCGAGCCCAACTTGGTTCACCCCTTTGCTTTAGGAGTCACTTTTGGGCCTTCTATCCTAAACTCTATAAATAGCCGATTAGGTTTCATTTTAG